TCCTCCATTTTATTTACATGGTTTGCTTGATTTGCACAGAGATGCGCTGTAGATCACTGTTCAGTTGTTTTGACCTATTAGAATAATCGAATTATGTTCAGTATACACGCACCAATAAATTTTAGTTAACTATACATCATCGATAAGAATATGTTCTACCTGTACTGTATGGTTATTTTATTTTGCGTCATCTAATATTGGACTTATTCTTTTTCTTCTTGTTTTTTTCAAAGGGGAAAACGCATACGGCGAGTCTACAGTTTATTGAAAATGAAAAACCCATACTGTAGTGCAGGGCCTTATATCATTTCTGCATAAGGGTTACACACAATTTCAAACAAAAACCAATTATAAAAGGACTTCAAACTGCATAAAAATATATTCTTAATAACTTACAATGTTTTAACCAAGACGTGAATTATGCAATTTGAAATAAATATTAGCAACATACTCATTAAAAATGACTGAGACTACACAATCAAACATCAAGCATATTATATACTTTGAATAACTGGATTGGTCAGGCGGCAAGTGCCAAACAGATTGGCACGCGAACGTTTGTTCATTCAGCCGGGACGTTTAAATATCATGATATAGTTAATCAGTTACGCCACGGATTTATATATTGTAATATAAATCCGTGGTTACGCTTATTAAAATGGTAATTTATGTAACTTTTAAATATACCGATCAATGTTTATGGATTTTGAGAAGAGAAAAATTGTGTGACGTGCATTATTAGAAATAACATGCATTACGAAGTAGCGGATAAAATTGTGTGTTATATCTTTTCCAAACAACCCATCTTAACTTCTCAAGATTTTGAAAAAAAATAATTGATTATTTAAAATCTATTTATGTGACTTAAATTTTTCTGTTTGCATCACAGGCAAATTGGATAAAGGATATAATCAGGTATATTGAACACTAAAAATGCATTATCACCTGTTCTGATATTTTTTCTGAATGATAATTAATCTCGATTTCATGTTATATAATTTCTTTTGTTTTTAAATGAACTATTTCAACAGCAAATAAGTTGACTTTTCATTTGCTAATAGATATATTTCCACATCTTCTTTAAAAAAAATGATCTCAGTGTCAGGTCCGTGATCGTAAATTCTTAAACAAGTCTCTTTTCCATGCCTTTTTATGGCATTCTTCGCCACAAAGTCATCTTTTCTATATTTGTTGAAAGCTATTTTATATAATTTTCTACCGTTTACCTTGAACTAAATTGGAATTGTCTATGAACTTTTACTATATTTCTATGTAGGGCGAAGCATTTTTTTTGCCCTACGCAGATTGCGCATGCGCGAGAAAATTCTAATTCTGGTCGATTTTTCATAGCAACGGACCGCGTCGTAAAAAGGTCAATACAACTACCTGATAAAACAAAGTTTTGTATAAAGAGTGTTAAACAATTTCTTTCGGATCTTGAGTTTAACTATTCCTTTAATATATTTAGTAAGCTATTAACAGTAGAACTAATTAATTAACAGTAAAACTAATACAGCTATATTTTAACATGCCAAATATATACTTTAGAGCCTGTATATATAATTTCTGAGGAGACGACACTTATCAATATACAGTTTGACAACAATTTTAATTCCAAAAAAAATAATTTTGAATTTCATATTGAAATCACACTGGCTCCTATCATTTTCCGGCCCCTAGCAGTTTTCCGGCCCTTTATTATTTTCATCCAGTACAGTATAGTCTACTTTTACCAGTAGGGCATCTATGTTACTTCATCAAATCAGAGAAACATCTGTTTTCTATGCAACACAGCAGTTGAAATAGTACAACGATTTATATATTTAGAAGTTAAGTTACCTTACAGAACTTGCGACATTCAAAAATGGAGAATACCTGCATGGGTAATTCTAGTTGAATACCCATGCACAATAACTGAGACCTCATTCCAGGAAAATCGATAGTTTTGAACAATATATTTGCAGACGACAAGGAAAAGGTTGGGAAGTTCTATTTCTGGTGTGTCATTCAGGTCTATATTCTAATTAAAAAGTAAAATAAAAGAGCAACATTGAAGGTTATGCTGAACAGGCATATAACTTTGTTCTGTCAAAGTTTTGTACTCTACCGTAGACAGATTTTTATTCAATTTGTTGAAAGGTGCCATTTGGGACAGAAAACTGCTAGGAAACCGATAGAGTTCAAAGTTACGCCAGCTAAAATGATGACAACCTATAATTTAAATGCCATCCACAGCTATGTAAATAAGAATAAAAACAAATTAAGAGGAAATTGCAGACACCATTTAATAATTGAGTCTGCTCAAGAGAAACAATGGCAATAAATGGTGAAGTAGAATCCAACGCAGAGATGTACAAAGGACAGGGTCAGGACAAAACACACCAGGGCATCTATGCACATGGTCTATGTATAGATATTGAAGCTAGCATACTGGACAGAACATATTGCTATTTTGGTGAGGTGAACAAAAGCCCATATGGAAATGAACAGATAAATAAAAATAATAATGATGTAATTTTAGCTAGAAAAAATAAAACCCACAGCAACTAGAAATTCAAACAAATATATCTTTGAAAATGGTTGAATTTAATTTATGGTAATTTATGACAAAAATAAAACCCACAGCAACTAGAAATTCAAACAAATATATCTTTGAAAATGGTTGAATTTAATTTATGGTAAATTATGCAAATGTAAAATGGTTAAATCATACTAAATTGTATTATATAAATAAGACAAGAAGCAGCGTGTTTAAGCTAGATGAGCATTTGCATTTGTTCATGTGCGGCATGTGAGAAACTTTAGTCCATTGTGCGTAGTCAACCATCAAATTTGCTTTCAGTATCATTTCTTAAAGATATGCCTGCATAGTCATTTGGGATGAAAGTGTACAGGGAGGGATAGTCCTTTAATCGTCATCTACAGATTTTATTTGAACATTGAATATGGTATGAAGGCGAATATAACAATATCATGAAAATGCGCAATCTCGAATTTATTGATCATGACTACAAGTTTTTGAATGAATTTAGAGATATATGAAGGGTGTAAACAAGCCTGTGAAATAACTATGCATAATATTAACATAGACAGATAAAGTTTAAAATATTGTCATGAATTCAAAGGAACGTGTTTCTGTGCTGTTTGATACATGTACAGGTATGCGTCTGTGCGTCTGTTTGGTAGCTCCTTGCAATATCGTTGTACATTTAATTTTGGGGATGATTTTAGTTTAATAAATATTTGCTCGTTACTGGGCGATGGTCTGTTGCACTCCACATGGAAGTTCAGCAAGACTATTGTCCCTAACAGTGTTTTCTTTTATGGCAATATTAGCGCCGATCATAACCAATACGATGAGCTTCAAACTGTCTAAAGAATAACATATGCGTGCAGTTTCTACAGGATGTCTTACAAGTACATACCCTGAGTGCCAACAATCTTTCTGAACATTTATCAACTTGGAATATTACCAAAATGTCTAGACTTAAATGTGATAGAAGCTATACAGGGTGAAATGAACCACCTCAAAAAAAGTTTGTGTGCGGGGCCACATGCCATCCCCTACGTATATTCGAAAATTGTCCAACAGTGAATAAATCTACCCCAATATTATGAAAAGATTTGATCACAAACATTAGACAACGCTACCAGGTTGTAATTAGCAGTCATGGTGATTGGTGGGGATATAATAATTTTCAATGATACAGTTATTTTGCGATATTGGCTTATAACGCACTTTCACATTTATTGGGCAGGTTAATAAATTTATGTTTCTTATGATGTTTAATAAATGAAATATCATATCATGTCTCTCAACTGTATAAATTGAAAATTTGAGCATGATCGTATCAAAATTGACACACATATGAGACCATTTAATACATGCAAACTTATAAGATTTGTTAAGTGTATATATCCACATATATCACTCCAAAACCCAAATAACACATATTAGTTCATTGAAATGTATCGATATATTTATTTAGAATGTTGAAAAGTTATATGAAAATTTTTGTTTTAATAATTCATTCTATTGGATTGCAATATGGGGACCACATGACCTTTTTGTGGTACATGGAGGGGCACGTGGTTTGTAAGCTCATCATTCTTATAGCATACGTTATAGCACCCCAAAAAAAACAACAACAGAAAACAAAACAAAACAACAACAACAAAAAACAAACAAAAACAAAAAACGGATAAAAATCTATGGCCAAACTCTATGTACTTATTTTATTTGGTTGAACATACGTGACATTCTTTTTCTTTGAAAACACGAGACTATTTTAAGGCCATGTATTTATAATTATTGAATGTTATTAAACTATTAGAAAGTAGAGAAAAACAGAATTCCTAAAGAACGCCCAGGAAAACAAAATTGAAAATGTTGCAGGCTTAAAGTGATTGAAAACTGATTCATTTAAATTATCAAAACGGTCTGTTATCATAAAAGTGTCACGGTTCAGAACTGTTCACTATTTAGGGGAGAAGATGTGTAAGCGGCCGGATAGCTCAGTCGGTAGAGCCGCGGTACGGTATTCCGTTGGTCCCGAGTTCGAGTCCCGGTCAGGCTGCACATTTTTCTCACCCTGTGACATTTGGCGCCCAACGGGGGACGTGACTGATATAGCTCAGAGTTTAATTTACATTGCTCTGTAACTCTGTGAAATTCGAGGACGAATTTCAATATAGCAGGGGAGTATGTCACGGTTCAGAACTGTTCACTATTTAGGGGAGAAGATGTGTAAGCGGCCGGATAGCTCAGTCGGTAGAGCCGCGGTACGGTATTCCGTTGGTCCCGGGTTCGATTCCCGGTCAGGCTGCACATTTTTCTCACCCTGTGACAAAAGTTTTAAAAATTTCCTCCCGCACAAAACGTTTTAATTTTCATTCTTCACAAGTACGTTGTAAGACGAATCTATACAAGGCGACAAGGAAAATCTGCCATCCCGTCTCTGTTTTATGATGACAACGATAAATCACGTAAGTCGTTCATTCATTGGATTTAAAAATGGCGTTCAAAATAGCGACGTTAAAATTCAATATTCATAAATGGTCTAGTTACTCTTATAACTATATTCCAGAGTGAGTAAACATTAATAAAACAAATATGTAAAAAAACTCTAACGGCAATGAACATTTATTTCCCGATTTGTATCTGCAAATTTGAAATGTCATGCGTTTTCACGATGATAATTTTTTGAATAATTTGTAGGATTTTCAAGAAATCGTTGTATTTTTGATGAATGGATTAAACAAGCAGCAATTGGCTTTGAAACGTGTCAAGGAGACCAAGTGCTTTACCTGATAGTTATTTGACAGTCGTTTGCATACATTATCTTCATATATAACGTCTTATGATTTGTTATTTTTATTTGTATGACAGTTCTAGATGAATTATTAAATAATTTATTTGTTAATTAAGCACATGGAATAAATAATAATAATATGAAATTAGGCAAAGCCTATGAACGGGGAAGTTGTTAAAAAAATTCCTTTCATTCTTTCTGTTTTAAAGGTGTCATTTGGTATTACATGCACCACTTCTGTTTTCACTCGGAAGACTCGACAATTATTATAAATTGATCCGAAAAGTTGAGATTTGTTCTGTTATCGGAATACTCCGCCTATTATCATTGAGTTACACTGTAAATGGCGGCGCCCAACTAGAACTGACACTGAAAATTTCATTGATAGGTATAGAATTCTATATTTTTTAATTGTTTTTTATTTGATTTTCTTTTAAATATACACATGTAGTCTATAGCCGGGTAAGCCAAAGCCCGGACCCGCTTCGCGGGCCCGGACTTTGACTTCCCCGTATAACAATAAAAAAGCTTGTTTTCGTCAATTTAAAGAATCAATGCAATTTCTCACTAGAACCCTGGCGTCTTGGGGTGTGTGTTTATATTTATAATTTTATTTTTGAATAGAGCATAATTGCCTCACTCTTCATAGAGCATAATCGCGATGAAATTAAAACTATGTACATGCGCAGCAATTGGTTTCCTCTTTACAGTTAAAAATTGTCTATTTACATCTTTTTAAAATCTGGTAAAAACTGGCAATGTGTCTAGTTGGTGGTTGTGTGTTTTGTCAGCGCCGACTTGAACCCCTCCAAGGTTGGTTTCTCAACAACTTGTATGGGTAGGCGATTCCAGAGGAATCTGAGGATGATGGTGGCCAGAAAGAAGCTGTTCTGGTACACAGATTTCTTACAAGTGAGCTGGCTGAGTTGTTGTTGGTTGCCTCTTGATGTTCTTGCATTACGTAGTGGGGGATCTGGTGTGACGTCTACAAGGTCATGCTTGATCTTGTAGAGCATGGTGACTCTTGCCATGTCTCTTCTCTTCTGTAGAGTGGTCCAGTGTAGTGAATTTACCATGTCTGTGACACTGCTCTGGCGTGAGTAGTCGTTCTTGACAAACCGTGCTGCTCTTCTTTGTACCATCTCTAGTTGGTTGATGTGGCTGTCCAGCAGCAGGTGACCATACAGAGGAGGCATACTCAACGCTTGGCCATACGTAGGTGTTGTAGGGCTTTGGCTTTTTGGCATCTGGTGGGCTTGACCGGATGTTTCGGCGCAGGAAAGCTAGGGTTGAGTTGGCTTTTTTCGTTATATTTGTCGATGTGGCATTTCCCAAGATGGGTCTGGTGTGATGGTGACTCCATGATAACTTGGCCTGGTTGGTTACGTTGAGGGTTGTCTAGTGTATTGTGTAATGGGAAGATAATGGGGTTCCCCTCTTGGTTTGGTAATTGGGATGACTCCTCCCACCTCAAAAAATATTTGGGCAGCATTGGGAAACCCCATTTTGCCATTAATTTCCCAGATTGGAGACTGTCAAGGTCATCCTTGTAGGGCACACGGGCATCCTCCTGGCTCTCGCTTTGATCGTCCTTCGAGGAGACAGTCTCAAAGCACAACAATTGCCAGTTTCCTGGACTTTTATAACCCCTAGAGGGTAGGTCGTTTGATGAAAGCAAGGAAAGACAGAGGACCTAAGACGCTGCCCTGGGGCACTCTGGAAATGTTGAAAGGGGATGGTGGGAAAGGTGTGGCCCCTTTCCCAGGACCAACGCGCCTGCGAGTTCTGCCAAAAAAGGAACCTCGAACACCACCCATTTTAAAATGTGTTGCCTCTGACCCCATAATTGTCTAGTTTCATCAGCAGTCGTGTGTGTGAGACCTTGTCGAATGCTTTTGCTGAAAATCGAGCAGGATAGTCCATCTATTTGTTCATTTTTGTCAGTCCTTTGACAAGGTGTTTCACAGTGGTGAGTAGCTGTGATTCACAGGAGCGACGGCGTCGGAAGCCATGCTGGGAGTCAGACAGTATGTTGTTGTTGTAGAAATGAGCCATGATGTTGCTAAAGATGATATGTTCCAGGATCTTACAAGAAGATTGATGTGAGAGAGATAGGTCTGTAGTTGGATGGTGTAGATCTGTTTCCTTTCTTGAAAGATTGGGGAGACATCAGCTGTTTCCAGTCAGCTGGGAGTGTACCACTGTCTAGAGAAAGCTGGTAGATTCTGGTCATGCCTGGGGCAAGTTCCTTGGCACCAGAGCCAGAGTTTTGAGGGTCTATGGTGGGAACTTTATCTGGGCCTGCAGCTTTGTGTGGTTTAAGTCCAAGGAGAAGCTTGAGGACACCCTTCTCTGTCACAGTAATGTGGCTCATATCTGAGATATGGCGTTTTGGAAGTTGTGGCGGGTCTGAGTCATCTTCCTTAGTGAAGACAGAGGTGAAACTGATCATTAAGTATGTCAGCTTTCTGTTTGCTTCCACTGAAGGTTATCCGTCTTTCTTCAAAGGTGCTACTCCAAAGTTTTCTTTTTTCCTTGATTTGATATACTGCCAGAAGACTTTGGGGTTTTCATGGTCCTCACTCGGCATTGAGGCAACATGGTGGTCATGTGCACGCCTACATGTCAGCTGGGCTTGGCGCTTGATAGTTATGTATCTGTCCCCAGTCATGTTGGGTGTTAGATCAGCCTTGCACGCTTGAACCAGCGTTTCTTCTGCCGTGTGATACGTCTGATGTCTCTGGTAACCCAGGGTTTGGTTGTATCTTTGTGATGTCTGTCTTGCTGGCACCCTCCTCTGCAACTATAAAGTGTGCATCCGTGCTTAAAAAGTGTCCAGCAATCTTCAATGTTTGTGTCAGTTAGGTTGAGGATGGTGTCAGAGAGATTGCTGCATTTCTTTTTCATATTATCAATGTTGGCCTTACCCCACATGAGTAGAGTGTGTTTAGGTGGTTTCAGGCGGGGGGCACACATGTTCATGTCGATAAAGACTGCATGGTGGTCGCTGATGCCGGGCATGGGGGAGCATTGGTTGACAAGATCTGGTCGGTTGGAGAAGAACAAGTCAAGGATGTTGTTGCCCCTGGTGTGGAAATCTATCATCTGGGTTAAGCCAAGGTCCGGTTCCATATGCAGAAAGGCTTCATTGATTGACTTTTTGTATTGATGACTTTGTATGGTGTTATTGGTCCAATTTATATCAGGCAGGTTGAAGTCTCCAGTGATCCAAATAGCAGATTTTTTGTACACATTTTACAAACTTTTGATATGGTGTCCAAAAGGTTGTGGGCATAAGATTCATTGTTGTTTGTTGGTCTATATGCTGACCCTATAATAAGTGATTTCATTGTTAGCACATTCTATCTTAACAAAGACAATGTCACATATGGAGTCTACTTCAATTCTTTCATGTTTGATGGTATTTTTGATTAGGATTATGCTACCTCCATACCCATCACGTCTGTCTTTACGATGGATGTTAAAATTGCTATTTGGGGGAAGAATTTCGGCATCATGGATGTCAGGCTTGAGCCATGTTTCGCATCCGCAAAGGATATCACAGTTTCAGACTTCCCAAAAGTTAAAAAAAACTGTCAGACATTCGGTCTGACAAACCATGAAAATCTGTCGGACCGAAACGAAATCTTTCAGACCAAATAAAATTGATCAAAATCAAAGAAAAACTTGTGTTTGTATTTCTAAGACACTTTTTGTTTTTAATTTTTTCGCCGTAAAAATCGGCACATTCCGTACAGTGCATTTTCATCTCCTCCCTGTTATACACCAATGATTCATGGTCCTCCTTCCATTTTTCATTAAATTTTGTCTCAGGTCTATCCTTTTCATCCTTTTATTGCTGTTCTGCGCGCTCCTCTGACGAAGATTTTCGTTTTTCCCAGGTTTGGCAGCTTTAGCGACGCCATTTTGTATACATGCTGCTTGGATAAAAGCCGGACATTCGGACCGATCCGGAATAAAAAATCGTCGGACCTGATCAAAATTTATCGGACATGTCCGTCGGACCGACGTATTTCGGGAAGTCTGCAGTTTATCGAATCAAGAAGGTTCCAGAAGCTGGCCCTTTTCTTTGAACTGGTTATGCTCTGTATGTTCAGACTGGCTAGACGGATGTTGTTGGTACGAAGCTTTTGCTTATTTCTGGCTTTAGGACTTGAGCATGATGGTATTGGTGCTTGAGCACTTTTTGAGCTTGATGTTGAACTACTAATACCTGATAGGTCAGATATGTTACATGAGGAGATGCTATCTGGGTGCGAGATATCACTACTGTTTATCGAATTTAAGCTGGCGAGATGGTCTGATGGTATAGTGTCTAAAGATATTGACTCAAATAGACTTGTTGAGAAAACAGGTACCCCACATGAGAAGCATGTGAATGGCAGGCTATCAGATTTAGTATATGGGAGAAAATACCTCATCATTTAATCCAATGCAGGTGGTGTGGAACCATGTCTCACAGTCGTCACATCGTATGGAGTTTTGGTTCCAGTCACATTGGTCCAGTCACATTGGTCCTTGCAGACACCGCATGGGAAGTCATCGATGTGTCTTGGGGATGAAGGTGGCCCTGGATTGAGCTGGGTATCAGATGATCTTAATATCAAAATAAATGCCAAGTATCTCAAATATCCTTTCTTGTTATATTGGTGGACAAACTTTTACTGTCAGTACAATTAACGCAATTATTAGAGCCCAACAATAATATATTTTCGGTGGTGTTTTTCATTTTAAAGGTATTGAGTATTAAACTTATTGAAAAAAAAGAAAACAAGAGGGCCATGATGGCCCTGAAGTCGCTCACCTGTATATAGGCCCCCAGAGTGGGGCCAGTTTAAACTTCAGGGTTTTTTTTTTTAACAAACTTGGTAGACACCCATTTGTAGATGTTTCATGCTAAACATCTAAGGTCTAACACGTTGAGTTTTAAAAAAAAAGATTTTTAAGTTTTAACTATACACATATATATAGTTAAAATCAATGAAACCCCTAAGGCGGGTACAGTTTTGACCCCAGGGCTTTTATTTGAACAAACTTTGAAGACATTCACTAGAAGATTTTTCATGTTTAATATCTAAACTCTAGCTGTTTGTTTTTTATTCAAAGAGGATTTTTAAGTTTTTGCTATACACATATAAGGAAAATTAATGTCCCCCGGGGAAGGGCCAATTTTGACCCTAAGGCTTTTATTTGAACAAACTTTGAAGACACTAACTGGAAGATGTTTCATGCTTAATATCTAAACTCTAGCTATTTGGGTTTTTTCAAAGAAGATTTTGTAAGTTTTTGCTATACACATAAATAAAATCAATGACCCCCGGGGCGGGCCAATTTTGACCCCAGGGCTCTTATTTAAACAAGTTTGGTAGACACCCATTAGAACATCGTTCAGGTTCTTTATAAGGAGATTTTATTATTTTTTTAGTTTTTACTATATGCATATAGGGAAAATCAATGACCCCCTGGGGCGGGGCCAATTTTGACCCCAGGGATTTTATTTGAACAAACTTGATAGACACTCATTAGAAGATGTTTCATGCTAAATATCTTAGCTCTAGCTCTTTGGGTTCTTTAAAAGAAGATTTTATAAGTTTTTACTATATGCATATAGGGAAAATCAATGACCCCCAGGGGCGGGTACAATTTTGACCCCAGGGCTTTTATTTGAACAAACTTGGTAGACACCCATTAGAAGATGTTTCATGCTTAATATCTTAGCTCTAGCTCTTTGGGTTCTTTAAAAGAAGATTTTTTAAGTTTTTACTATATGCATATAGGGAAAATCAATGACCCCCTGGGGCGGGGCCAATTTTGACCCCAGGGCTTTTATTTGAACAAACTTGATAGACACACACTAGAAGATGTTTCATGCTTAATATCTTAGCTCTAGCTCTTTGGGTTCTTTAAAAGAAGATTTTTTAAGTTTTTACTATATGCATATAGGGAAAATCAATGACCCCCTGGGGCGGGGCCAATTTTGACCCCAGGGCTTTTATTTGAACAAACTTGATAGACACTCACTAGAAGATGTTTCATGCCAAATATCTAAGCTCTACCTCTTTGGGTTTTTTAAAAGAAGATATTTTAAGTTTTTTCTATTGGTTGCCATGGCAACCAGAGTTCTGCATGGAATTAAATTCTTTGAACAATTTTTAAAGGTGACCACCAAAGGAACATTCCTGTGAAGTTTGGATGAAATTGGCTCAGCGGTTTATGAGGAGATGTCATTTAAAGTAAAAGTTTACGGACGCCGGATGAAAAGCGATCACAAAAGCTCACCCTGTCACTTTGTGACAGGTGAGCTAAAAAAAGATTGTTAATATTATAATTATCATGTAAACTACAGTTGACTCTCAATAAGTCAAAATCGCTTTACTCAAAATTCCGCGTTAGTCGAAGAATTTCTAAAGTCCCGTCAAATTTCCTTCTTTATCTTTGTATTTTAACTCCGCTTAGGTCAAATTTTGACTTACCGAGACTCCTGTTTAGTCGAAAAGAAAATTTGGTCCCGTCAATTAAAGTCCAACATATTTTCATTTCAATTAGTCGAAGTGTGAAAACAGACGACTGATCAAAGGTCGGCGACATCAAGGTGAGATGTTGTCACTCGTGATTTACACGTTTCATATATTTTTTTTAATTGGTCATCATGTATTATTAACACATCGTATAAGTGGCTTTAATCCGTATCAGCACTTAATTGGTTTTAACAGTTAGATAACTAAATTATAATTTAATTACATTTCTTAAGAAAGGTGACTCGTGCCAGTATGACGGGTGTTAGTCAAATAACAGCCAAGGTATTGATGTGTGTTATCAACGTAACTGACATTTGTATAATTAATGTTCCGTCATTTTGCATACATTTATTTGTACTTCCGGTTCACGATAGTTGCTACTTTCGTTTTTCGTCCGATGATCAATTAAATCAAATATAATTGTATGTTTATGTTTCACTATTTATATACTGTATTAAAATTTTGAATGATATATTTTTGTTCATTATGATTTGTAGTTGTAAGTAATTTACCGTCATTTCAACGGTTAAATATTGCAGCATTGCCGCTAACAACAATAACAAACCTACTTCTTTGCACATTTAATCAGGCACATGTATATATACATGTACGACTGTCAACGTAATTGCGGCAGTTCCACGTTACTCGAATTCCGTTTCTCTCGAAGTAAAATGCCCAGTCCCTTGGATTTCGAGTAACCGAGAGTCAACTGTATTTCAATTGATGTTAATCAACTGCAACTTAACACTCATTTTTTCTTGTAGTATGTAGATGACAAAGATCGATATTGATACTTTCTTTACTGTAGCCAACATGGCGATTCATATCTAAAAAGGAAACAAACGAACACAATCGCTGTTTCTTTGTTAAAATCCTTGCTTAAAGACATAAAACAACATATGCATTTTTCGACAATACAGTGTGTCCTGGCTAGCAGTACGTGACGGCCCGTACAGCTAGCCACTTCCGTGTAGGATAGCTCAGTTGGTTAGACCATTGACTGTCACTCCTGAGGTCCCGGATTCTATCCTGGGTAACACCCTTGGGATTTTAGAGACACTTTCAGTGTTTCCCACCTATCTAGAGGTGTACTGGTAAGAAATCACGGTAATCCTCGCATGTATCAGTGCTATACACTGGACATGTAAAATAACCAAGGGGTCTTTTCAATAAGAGCTAGAGACTGGTTCTCGGATTCCCTTGTATCTCATAACTTTCTCTGAAGTGACTAATCTAAAGTCATGTCTACGTCCCTGCGAGGGGTTTGACATTAATAGAAGATAGACAGATAGGATAGATTTCTGAGCCCCCATCAGGCATCAAGATTCAGCACTTATACTCACTGCTACTAGTAGACAAATTTCATGTTATTGTTCAAATTGAATTAAGGCAAAGCCAATGATCAGGAAGTCTGTTAAAAAATATCGTTCATTTTTCTGTTTTAAAGGTGTCATTTACTATTTCATGCACCGCTTCCGTTTTTATTATCAAAATTATGTAAGTTTGTGTGATAATTTTACAGTAAATGGACCCAATTGGAAATAAGCTGTTATCTTAATGGGCAATCCTAGGGTAACATAAAACATACTAATTAATTAACTTTATAATCATTTTTGTGTGTTTTAATATATATGCAAGTTGATATATGTGATACTATTGTATGTGTTTATGTATATTCCCTGAATAAATCGATACAAACCCTGGATATTATTAATAAGACAAAATGTAACGTCATTGAGGTTGCTCCTTTATCGTAATACCCCACCTATTATCATAGAGTTACATAAAAATGGCAGTGCCCAACTAGAAATGACACTGAAAATTTCACAGATAGGTATAAAAATCTATATCTTTTTTTAATTTTAATAGGTTCTTTATTTGTTTTCCTTAAACTGGACAGGCCAACACTTTCCCCATATTAAATCTGTAAATAGTAACGAAATACAGGTAATTTGTAAATGGTTGGCAAAAAATATGGTGGCTGATAAAATGCAAAATATTGTAATTTTATATGTATAAATTTAATTACAAACTTATTTTTCATAAAACAGCTTAGAAAAAAAACATTAGAAAGGTCTGTAAACTCATATTTTTCACATTAAAAAATAATTTTTCAAAACTTTTTCCTTTTTTCTTGGTAAAAGGTTATTCTTGTTGCTAGAAATCTATTGAAACAGCAGTTAAAACAGCATCTTTTTTTTAAATCCAAACTGAAAATCTGTGTATATTTAAAAAATATCAATATAAAGAGCTTTCAAGTGATATAAGATTCTAAAAACAGACCCACAAATAAAAAGTTATTAGAATTTTAAAATTTTGCTGCTATATAATGCATATTTATAAATATTGGCTCCTTTTGCCGGTAAATAAAATCTGCTTAATTCCTTAAGCAGGTGTTTGTGATGTCATCAGTCAACTTGTCTATAAAGTAAAGACTGCAGACTATGAAACACTTTCTTTAATTTCCTGTCTAACCAATCCTAGCTTTATGTTTGCCCCATTGTTTCCGTTTCTGAACCAGGATGCATGCTATATGGTTGGTTCTTCTTAAGTTGCTGCTTTTCTTTGAGATATGGGTAGATTTATCTCATGAATGACTGTATGGCGGAAAAATGCATTTGAAAAGGTTATATGTATTATAATTTGTTGTTAAAAAGTTGTAAATATTGTAATAATCAAATAATTTGGCCACGTGTCCTGTTTGTTTACATACTTGACAATGTTCAACAACATGTCAACCTGCTGCGTTTTGTGTGTATTGAACAGGTGCAACTTAATTTCACACCAATAATGGGCCCCAAAAAATTTGCACTGAACTATCAATTGAAATATAAAAGATACTGGTTAACCAGTATGTTACAAAACATCCATTTATGTTGTAACTATTGTTCTTAAATTTAATTCTGCAAATTATTCTATTTTTAGAAATATATATGTTGACAAACCAGCTGATCAATCTTCCAGATGGTCATCAGATTCTAATCATCCTCCACAGGTTAGTATTATAATATGAGCCACGTCACAACAAAACCAACATATTGCATAAATTGCCACCAGCATGAATCCAGACCAGCCTGCGCATCCGCGCAGTCTGATCAGGATCCATGCTGTTCGCTATCAGTTTCTCTACTTGTTAAAAGGTTTAAAAGCGAACAGCATGGATCCTGATCAGACTGAGCGGATGCGCAGGCTGGTCTGGATCCATGCTGGTGGCAAACCCATTATGTTGGTTTTGTCGTGACGCGGCTCATTTATATTATACATTGATTTACATTTATAACCACTAGGGGTGTAACAATACGACAAAAACCGTTTTGCAATATATTGCCATTTTGCAGAAGCGTATTGCTGCTATTGCAATATATTGCAATATGTATTGTCGTGTATATGTTTTGATGTAAAGATGGATTAACATTATATATTATTATTATAATATGTATATATTCTAAGTAGAAACTTAATTAAATTGTAAGGACTAAATAGAAAGTAAAGTGTCACACAATTCGATAAACAAAACTAGTCGCGCGTGACATTTCACATCTGGGCAGCTTATGTAAATTATGCGGCCGCTTATTGACTTATAAGTGTACTTGTTGTCAGATATTTTTATCTTGCATTGGCGCCAATAAAATGGCGCCAATTAAAGATTTCATACGAAATTAGGAGGCAATTAATTGAAAATTATGATTTTTATAAAATACTGGTTTTCCAAAAATTGTACCGCGGTACAAAATTAATTTTTTCATATTGTAATATATTGGTATACCGGTAAACCGTTACACTCTTAATAACCACATTAAATATACAGACTATTGAGACTTGTGATTATAATGTTTGAGTCAAATGTTTTTCCTTTGGTGACATTAGATATAATTTTGTTGTTTTAGTGCTATAAATTTTTGTTCATTCCACCACTGACTTGTGTGCAAAGTTTGGCATTTATTTATCAAAAAGTAGCCTGTGGAAGGACAGTTTACATATAATTCAGGGACACTTGCTAATGTTACATTGGATTGGTAATGGTATATATAATTATGTCCAAAAAAAAAAAGGAAAAAAAAAGGAAAAAAGCCATGTTCATTGGACGAAATAAATCTAGATTGATTTTTGAATTTTATTTTCCTTAGTTTCTGTTACTGAAGCTGGAACAGGCAGCAATTGTAGATTCAATAACATTTGGGAAATACGAAAAGACCCATGTATGTAACCTGAAAAAGTTTAAAGTGTATGGTGGCCTAAGTGACGATCATATGATAGAATTATTAGAGAGGTGAGTGTGTTGTCAGCTTCATTTTAGATCAGTGTTGTGGGTTAGTTACATAAGAGATATTAAATGAGTGTAGATTTAAATACTAAATTTATTGAACAAGCTGAGTAAAATCATATAATGATCACCAGAGGCTCACATAATATTGTTTATTTAGTTGAATATTCATGACTTTAATATTCTTTTTATCACATATCTAAAATAGGAATGGTTTACAGTTAAAAAGTGTCACTTTTTTATTGATGCGTCTATAGTGTAACGCCATTAGTGAGCATTAATTGATGTATTATGCAAAAGTCCAAGGTCAATAAAAAAAAAATGAAGTTGTAAGTATTGATCATGTAGTCATCATGCATTGAGGGATTTTAATGTAAAATTACTATCAAGAGACTAGGCATCTGTAATATTTTGTGACAGTACCAGCCTTGTTGTGAATTATACTTGCACAGTGTCTCTTCTAGGATTTGAAAAACAGGGGGGATTTTTATCGAAAAGTGAAAATTTATTACATTTGTTGATCTTTATCCTTCTTTCTATGTGTAAAATTTTTCCCCATTCCTCTGAAAAAACGGGAATTCTCAAAAATATGAGTGAATCCCCCCATTCCCCCTCCTAGAATAGACACTGCTTGCAGAAAGTATGTTATCAAATTGTGTTGTGTTAGAAGATATTTTTTAATTTGCTGATGGAGAGAGAGAGAGAGAGAGAGAGAGAGTGCAATATAATTGTTTATGACTTTATTTTGATTTCAGTGGATTGAAGAATGACCATATACCAGAAACATTTCCCCTGAAGAATGAAATAGACAGTAATCATTTTCCATGTAGATATATAAAAATAGGTAAATATTTCAATCCCAGTATTTTGTTATTTTGAATAAGTATACAATCAGGAAATTAGTTAATTTTGGATAAGGTTTGCTTTCTTTTCTTTCAGTATTCTGTTTTTCAACAATCTTACAGCACTTGTCTTTATTTCAGGTAATTTATATACATAAGTGTTTTAAGCATAATTATCATGTTTGCATATGATTCTGATATTTTTTATAGAATCATACATTAAAGAAATGATTTTTCTACATATTTGTTTAAAACCATTAGTGCCTAATAGATTCATGTTAAAAACTAAGCAGTGCAAATGTTTTTTTGTTTGTTTTTTTATCATAGAGAAGTAACATTACATGTGACTATGATTTCCCATATCAAGGGGATATAACTTTTCTTGCAGTGCCACTTCAGACTTGGGGTCCAAGTTTTAATTTTAGCATATGGCATGTTCAACTGAATGGTATAGATGATCCAGATGTTGTTAAACCTTGTATGAACTGGTACAATACAGTAGGTATCATTTGATAAATATTGTTTTTATTTTATAATACTGCACATTTTAATGTCATTTTTCATTGACTAATCATGGCATTTATATAGTTTTATAGACACAACTGCTGTGAATTTATAAAGATATCTCACTTTTTTGCTCTAAAAAGAAGTATTGTATTATAAATACTTTATAAATATTTCTGGTTATATATAAATGATTATTTGCAATATAACTCAAGCTGCTTATATAGGGCCATATAACCTGTCAAAAAAAAATCTTTATAAAAATATATTTCTTGCATCGTGTGCACTTTTATGCGGGAACATACATAATAATTTATGTCAGAGGGCATATTGATTTTTGTTCTGTTTCATTGTTTGTCCGTCTGTCTCGAGTAAAGACATCTTTAACATGGGCATAAGATCATCTTTTGTGTAGGCTAGAGCTACATACTTTGACAAAGGATACTTTTGGATAATAACATCATTTAGATATATAATACTTATAATGCTTATGAATTTGACCTTCAGTGTCGAATTTCGGAAGTTTGGCAATTTAAGCTTAACTTTGTTTTATTTTAAGATAAACTGGTTTTGTATATGTCAGAGCTTTTTGTTTTATAAACACATCTTGTCTAGAATTTTATTTTGATGAATTTCAAATTTGTCGTTTTTTTAAAAAGTTTATCTCACATTAAAAATTAAGTGAGGAAAATTTTGATTTTGTTTTAATTTTGTATAGTATAGAGAGAAAGAAGCAATTAGATTATGCCTGAAACATTTTCGTCAGCGACAGTATGTTGAGGCATATGAGGCGTTACAGAAGAAGACACGGGTAGATCTAGAACACCCAATCCTAACTGAGCTTCATGGTCTACTGGTTACACAGGGAAATTACGATGCCTGTGAAGATCTCATAACTAAAGCATGTGAAGGTAATTTTTGTAGAAATAATTTGAATATGCAAACTTGCAAATGTTGCTTGTTTCATAATCATAAACATTTTTATGAACTTTGTGATATCAGTTTAAGATTTAGATTTTATATCTGCTTGTGCTTATAGTTTACAATATTACTTGTTCCTTGTCATGGAACAGGTGAGCGATTTCAGGGCCATCATGGCCCTCTTGTTACATATCCCTGCTAAATTTGTGTAATGATGTCTTGCTTTAAGAAATAGAAACATTCATTGTGATTTTAACAATTCAATATAAATGTGTCAAAATGATCAGGAAACAGTATCGATTGTGGGTAGAATGCTCAGTGTGATGGACTGGCTGTGTTCCAAGCTGATATTTTCCCTTTAAAGGTAAACAAGTGGTAATGTATCAAATGAACCTGAAAGAATATTGTAATACAAGAAGTGATATGTTTATGTTTTCTATGCTCAACTTTAACCTCATGTTTATTACTTCAGAGGGTTTGTTTGAGCAGTACATAAGTGACCAGGATTACAAACCAAAATGGACAGCAATTGAACCTGTAAGTTCAGGTATGAAGATTTCCTATTTTGGGAATGTAACATTCAAAGCGTTTTTATCTGATTTCTGATTATATTTCATTTTCAATTTAGGCCCAAATTTGCTTGTCTTCCTATTATCATGGTACACTTTGATAATCAAGTGAATTTAAAGCTGCACACCAGATGTGCCAAAATATTTCAAGAAATTCAATTTTTAGAAAAATGTATGAAGATCTTAAGAAAAGAAAAAAAAAGATTCAATACTTAATTAATTATTTACATGTTATGTGCAAGTAATGACCTACAGTAGAACTTCGGTAAGTCCAAGTTGAAAGGACTTACATAAAAACTTCAACACATCGGGACTTTGACTCATGGATTGTTCTCAATATCATGACAAAATGTCAACCCGTTGTAGCATACAAAGAAGTTACAAAAGGCATAACAATAGGAAAGGGCGATAACTAAATAACCTTACAGTAAATATTTCGCGTTAGATTATCAAGCGACACCGGATCACTGAAGTTCTCAAATGAAAGTAGTTCTTACTGTTTACTTTCAAATACCACTACGGCAATTTGAATGGTAACAAAGCATTTTATCACACATTTAAATGCATACAAAGTCTGTTTGAACACACGACTGTGTATTAACACCTGTCACACAAGTTGATCGGTAATCGTCTTTGTGGCCAGATAAGGTGTGAAAAAATGTCTCGAGACCGAAGATGACAAAAATAGTAGGACTTTGACTTATTTGTGGTAAATTGTATTCGATTTATTCTATACGAACCACAAAAAAACTTCGACACATCGAAAAATTTGACACTTAAAATTTCGACTCATAATAATGTTTTTGAAAGGAATATATCGGGCAAAAAATCAGGTTTTTCATTTTACTTCGACAAATCGAGAAAAATCGACTAATCGAAGTTTGACTCATAGAAGTTCTACTGTATTTTGCAGTATCAATCACTATAATTCTTCTGCGTTTCTAACACAGTAAGAGGTATTTATATAAATATTTAGACCTCTTTTGGTAGTTTACATGGTTTGCAATGTGTAAATTACTTTCTTTGTTCACTTCACAATATTTTACTTTTAAATGTATTTTCAAAATTTTCATGGAAATTGGCATGAATCTAGAGGCATGCTGCTTTAAGAGTTTTAATTTTGATAATAATATTGCATTGTACATCCTTAGGGTCAGAGAGTACAGATTGTCGTCCAGGTATGAGAGGTGGACATCAGATGGCCCTTGACATTCACACAGGTACGGCATTTTAAAATTTAATGAAGAATAAATAATGTGAGCAACACATAAGTACCAAGACATATTTCATTTATTTTAATATTGACTGTTTTCATTTAGTGATTTCATTTATTAGTTTATTTCAAGGTAATCTATAACTCTCAGGTTAATAACAATCATCAAAACAAATAATATTCCAAATGTGCATGTTTGTAGTGGGGAAAAAATAACAGAGAGATACATGTAATTGACATATTTTTAGATAGAAAAAATATATCAGTTTGTGTTTGTTTAGATTTGGCATTGTGTAACATAGACATTGTGTATATTTCAGAGAGTTTATATTTATATGGTGGCTGGGACGGCAACCAGGACCTGGCTGATTTATGGTGCTATAATTCTCCAAACAGACAATGGACGTGTTTGTCTCGGAATGCAGCCGAGGAGGTAAGTTTGTTATATAAGGTGAAATTGTATTTGATAAAATATACACCATCAGTAATGGAAAAGTTTTAATCCAATTTGAGAAAGATCAAGACTTACTGTGTTTGACATTGTTCTAGTCATGAACAAATATGAAAATCTGGAGAAAGAGTAATCCCTCGGATGCATTAATCACAATAAAATTAAATGAAAATTGCGGACTTGGTTTGATTAAGTCTGTACATGAAAAATAATGAAAAAGTGCAACATTCCTCACATCCCCTAGCACCAGATTGAGGGGTACTCGATTTTCAACACTTTTAAGTGCTGAAATCAAAGTTCACCTTACATTTTGCCAGCCTGTTTTACAGATAAGTTCGTGCTGTAGCTGTTTTGTCAGAACTTGCTAGGGATTTTGAATGATTTCATATGAGGATAACAACAAGCCAGTTTACCAAAGGATGATGGTTCTACACAGGCAATGCTTTTGTACATGGTTTACCAAAAAGACCTTATTCCTATCAGACTACAAATAACTCTATGTACCAGTCAAATGCAAAGTTGAAGTTTATGTTTTGTATTTTGTTTTTCAGGGTGGACCCTCTGCTAGATCGTGTCATAAAATGTGCCTTGATTATGAAAGAAAACAAATTTTTACTCTTGGTAGATATCTAGACTCTTCAATGAGAACAGAGGACAATTTAAAGGTAAAAATTGTTAAATACTCTATATTTTGTTGCTGAATGTCAAAGTTGTTGACTTTGCATAACTTACTCCTCACTTCTTTGGGTTTGAAACAATCACTCAGTGATAAACAGTGGCTGCTATTCTGAGGGTTGAGGCATCAGAATTGCAGCCACCATTTATCCCTGTGTGATCTGAAGAGGCGACTAAATGGATTCCAATTACTTGAGTCTATACATCTCTTAGCTGCAGCAGATGAGGTGGTTTTGACCCCTTGTGTTTCTTTAAGTTTGTAACACATGAGGTATACCAAAATCATCTTTTCTGTTTTGCTGTTGTATGACCTAAATTATGTCTGTGCACCATAAAATCAAACAAACAAAAACTTGTACTTCCATCAGGATAAGGATGGAAACAATGGATAACAGGTTAAAATGCATGTAATTATCTCTTTTTTTATTCATCTTTATATTTTCATTAAGCATATAAAAACAATTTTACACTTATGTGATTATCATTAGTGCTTAGAAATTACATTATTATTATATCATACATAGGTATTTTTGTGATATTTGTATAGCTGTAAAAATAACTACAATAATCAATGTCTTTGTGAATTCTGAAATAAACAAAAATCTCAGTGAAAAAAGCATGAAATACATAATATATATAATTTGAATTTTGGACCACTTGTACACATCTTTGTGTGAAATCAAAAGATCACTAGGTACATGTATGTTTTGTTTTCAGAGTGATTTTTACATGTATGATATAGAAAACAATAAGTGGATGTTAATTACAGAAGACACATCTGCAATGGGAGGGCCTAAGCTTATCTTTGATCATCAAATGGTTATAGATATAAAAGAACAAACACTTTATGTATTTGGTGGTAGAGTTTTAACCTGGTAAGTTGCATATGCATATAAAAAATCTTTTGATTTGAGGTATTTTTAGCCACCACCTGTGATTGATTGATTGATTGATTGATTGATTGATGAATCTTGATGTTCTGTTTTTTGCTCTGTGTGTCTGTGGAAAAGTTGTTCATGGCGCTGTCATTGTTAAAGTTAGCGCATAGACATTACATACTGTATTACCTCTATGCAAGAGGCTCATTTTGAGGTATTGAAAAATTACCCCAACTACTAAGTAACATGGAACTTTTAAAGGTCATATTTTTAAAATTCAGGAAATTTCACAATAAGTTCTATTCAATTGGAATATGTGAAATTGAGTTATGTGAAAAAATCTTGTCTAAAAATTAGTTTTGTTATAGGATATCTAACCTCCATTTATTTTCTTGGTAAATGACGAAGTAAGCTTCAACTGGTTTGAAAATTTGATATATTGATTAAGAAATAATATATCCCAAACTGTGATTTTATCGCTCAATAAAATCACTGTTTGGAGTTCGGATGCACGGAATTATATCAAGCGATAAAATCAATGATTTGGATATATTAGTTCGATTCTAACACGACATTAACAAATACATGCTACCATACCTGATATTAAGCTAAATTCCGCCTGATTTGTTTCCATACTTATTTCAACGCATCGCATTTTTAGTGGTTACGTGAAATGTAAATAATGATTATGTCACATGTCTAAATATAGAATGTCAACACTGATTTTATTGCATAATAACACATACTTTCGGTTCTTCTATGTTCAATAGGGAAAAATGCGGGTCGTGTTAGAATTGTGTTTAATATTAAAAAGAAAAAAATTGACAGACTGATGGTTTCAGATTTTTTATGCCTTAGTACTTAATATCTTTGAAGTCATACAGATTATACACTATAACAAGTAGTTTTCAGGTGTCACTCACAGGTTTTAGTTTGTATTCAAGAAATTGATCTTTAGGAGATAAATTTGTAATTATTGGTTTGTTATCTGGAAAAGCCTGTTTTATGGTAAAAATTATACTAATATGGAATAAGCTAGCCTGAAATTCCATGAAATAATGTACATAGAATATAAATAATATCTCAATTAAATTTTGTATCATGAAAACTTGCAGAAAGAATGAAATGAAAATGTTGATAATTTCAGTACAACAGAAGGGGAGAGAAATGTTACTCCACAGTTCAGTGGATTATTTTCATACCATATACCAACAAACACGTGGACTAAATTACGAGATGACTGTGCAGAATTGAGGTCCAGAATAGGTCACTCTATGTTGTTTCATCCTGTAAGTTGACTTAGTTTAGTTTTAAACATATTATTTAAGTTGAATTATGATAAAAACTTTAAAGTTACATTATGCTCATTTTTTTTGGATGTCAAGCTGAGCAGAGTTGACTATATATTTCAAAAGATTGACTGTTATAATGGTTATTGACCAATAATTGACACGAACATGTTTAAGATAAAATATATGAACTGCCTTAAAAAGACTGCCCCACTGTTTTGAAAATCGAACATACAATCTGAAAGCTATTTTTAGATTTTTTCATGAGTCACATTGGTTATGAAATAAACATGTGAAGAAATACTAAGTATTAAATTGAAAACAACTATGACAAAATGTGAAGTTATTTCGACTTTTACCTAACACTCACTTTTACACTTGGATAGGCATAATTAGGTGATTATTGTTGTAAAATATACAGGCAACTAACCCACACACAAAATTTCCAATATTTGTACAGAGATCTGCCGAGGACGCGATTTTGCGCCATTGGCGCTAAAAAAATGAGAATGGCGCAGGAAAATCGGCAGCAAAGGGCCATGGGCGCATCTAAAATCTGTGCCAGACTTATAAGAAAACAAAACTGTCTGCTGGGTTATTTTAAAATTTAGTCATCCAGTCAAAACTAGTACCAAAAGCAACATGTTACCCATGCTCCTGTAATTACGCATATTCTTGAGTTTATCCATTCCCCTATAGCTTAAATTGTCCATGTTATCTACTTACCGCAATTCTTCTCATAATCCCTTTCCCACACAGATACTCATTTCTACTACCGTAAATTTAATCCAATAAAACAAACAAACAAATTATACAACTACTGTACTTAATATTTAAAATGATTATCGGTCGGTAACTGTTTTACAGTAAAAAAAGTGTTGCTAGTTTTTAATGTTTTTTTTGGAAATGCGATTCGGTAACTACACAGAGGGCATACAAGGGCAATATATATCTTTACAGTGGTATTAGGACTTATTTATGAACATTTTATGGATTTTATTTACAAGTAAGAACAGCCAATTTTTTTAGTTTTAAAAAAGTTTGCTCTCTCTATATATTTAGTATATTAATTGTTTCATTAATTAAATTTATCTACACAACTTTTTAACAGTTATTTTGGTCAAGTTATTATTTTCCCAAGGTTGTCATTCAGACCAAGTGGCCCAGGGCCCCTAAAGATTAAACAGTTAGAAGAGATAGGTCACAAATACTGGCATGAACAACTGGAACTAATGCATGTTAGAATTTAATGTGTTATATCGTTACAGTATAATCTGACAGGTGTTCAATTTATGGAACCTTCCTATCTAATTATTCACCTTTTTATTAAAATTTATTTACCTTTTACCCCTGAGATTCTAAAATTTGGACTGGGATAACATCTTTCTTCCCCTTGTGTCTGGTAGACTGGTTTAACGAGTGTGCATGTGTGGGACACCATTCTAGTTTATTTTGTATATATTTCAGAAAAAAAACGTGCTTTTTTAATCTTTGCTGGGGCAAAGGCAAAGGAAAATTTTTTAAAGTTTCGATTTTGGGGGTATTAGTAAATGGGTTGAGGGTTATCTTCCGACGGAAACCAAAAGAAAGTGTCAGGGGTAAAAGGGTAAGCCCGTAATCCGGCTATCAAATATAAGAAATTTCCTCAAAGATCTAGCAAAAAATCAGGGAAAAAATTTTGTTATTCGCATCAATTAATCTACATTAATAAGCTGATTTAAGAAAATTGGTGGATTGGTATTGAAAAATTGTCACTAGAAATTTGTGTATGTTGAATAATTGAAATTTCTGTTATTCTTAAATTAAAAAAGGAAAAACACATGTAGTTTGATCCAGAAATTAATGAAATAGTATATTTTACTATTTATTGCTTTAAATTTTGCTGTACAATGCTAAGGATAGAATCAAAAGGTTACCATGATTTTAAAGTTAAAAATGTAATTTATGTCTCCATGATGAAAATTTATATTTTCATTGACATAGAACTACAGTTGCTGTAGAAGAATTGTTTGTTTTGGGGTATTCATTGCTTCACAAGAGTTTAAATAGGCTTATGTTGTTTTATTTTTGACAAAGAACTAAATATAAAAGATTAAATTAAGTAAAAGTTTTCATAATTTGTTTTCTTTAATTTGGTTTTAAAACAATAGGCCATTATATTGTTGACCACTTCTATAAAAATATTGTTTTACAGTTCCTGCAGCTGGATTTACACAAAGAGCAACACTAGATCCTGACACAGATGAGATACATGTACTATCTGTAAGTTATCTTTGTACATTCTGACATTGTCCCCTCAATGAGAGGTCGTTTGTTTCATTCTTGAGCATTTGCAAACATCTTTGTGACAATTTATGTCCTCAGACATTTAGTTTAATGGTCATTTGTCTCTCACAACTAAATCAGAAATCTTGTCACAACTAAATCAGAAATCTTGTGGGATTAGTAGTCTGTCACTTGTGGAGAAATTGTCCAGGAAAATTGGTAAGGTAGATTGACCCTTAAGATATGATAACAATTTTGTTGAAATTGGCCTGAAAACCAGTTAAACCAACAGTTTTCAAGTATAATTTTGCAGGGATCACATTTTTTTGGTGACTAGGGCAAAATAGTCACGTTGTCACTGCCCATTTAACCCAGTTTGTATAGACAATCAGCAACAAATTGGCTCTCATTTGTACTTAACATTTCTTGTATACTAATGAAGAGTTTGGTCTTCATTTTATATGAGAGCTTTAAATCATATTTAGTATTATTTGTAACATATTGCATATATTTCACAACTTTTTATTTCAGGGTCTAAGTAAAGACAAAGATAAAAGAGATAATGTGAAAAATTCATTTTGGGTGTATGATATAAATAAATGTAAATGGTAAGTTTTACATGTTTCTAAATATATTTTGTTTCACAGATTCTGTAGTAAAATAATTGAAGTGTAATTGAAGTACATGTACTTGTTATACAGCAGTAAGAGTGAAAGTCCTGTAAGGGGCCAAAGTTTCATTTTGGACAAATCCTTCCAGCAAGTCTGCAGAAACTAACTAAACCTGCTAAATGTCTTAAATGGACTTGTCTAGTTTCCATTTCTTAAGATGTCCATTATCAATTTTGGGGATAGCAGGATTGAAATTTTAAGTAGACAAGTCACTAGTATAGAGCCTGGTCAGACTGCATGGTTTTTAAACAAAAACTGAAAACCAAAAATTAAAGCATTTCTGGGGCATAATGGGCCTTGAATCAAAATGATAGTATGTTTTCTACATTAATGTTTGGTTATATAATTATATAAGATAACTTGTGTGACTATTTCAGGTCGTGTATATATAAGAATGAGAATACTGGACAGCAGTACTGGACTAAGATGCAGCATGTAGAACCTGTTCCAAGGTTTGCCCATCAACTTGTATATGATCATGTCAGAAAGGTAAATATTGACCATCTGAAGAAAATATTCTTAAAATTTGCTTCATCACAGAGAATCATAATTATAACAAACAAATTGACAGATACATGTAGGTTCGCTATTGTATTAATTCCAATGTATTGTGCATTATTGACATACTCACATGTAGGACATATAGCTCTTAGTTGTGAAAACATAAGGTTATTTTAGGTCCTTAGAAAATTCTTTTGCATCATGAAACCTTAGAGATATGTATCACTATAAAACCTTTCATAATAGATGTTTCAAAGTGAATAATTGTATTTTGAATAATATTTATTGTTTTAAGGTGCATTATTTATTTGGGGGCAATCCAGGAAAGGAAAGTCTACCTAAAATGAGATTAGATGATTTTTGGTGCTTACAGGTATTATATATGTTGTTGTGATTACAACTGCTTTTTAAACACTATTGAATATCCTTCTTTGGAATACTAGAAATATTATTTCTGCAATTTTATTAACAGTTTAGGGTTGAATTTACTAATTGTGTTAGGTGTTAAATAGATTTAGAGTGATATTAATACATTCTTTTTGAAGATATTTTGAAATATTTGTACAGTTGAAACTTTTCTTGAGACCAATTTTCAAAAAAGAATGGTATTTACATTTGAAGTTGATGAAGATGTGATCAGTCTAATATTTTTTTTTAGTTTATGTGAATTAGCAGGTATTAAAGTTATTCTAATTCTAGTAAAGATATTTAGGGTTACTTTTGGTTGAGTTGGGGCATAAAGATTTAGCCGCCTATCTAACATTTTGTCAGTAGATTGGCCCAAAAAAAGGAATGTAGGGGCATCTGTGTCCTATGGGAACATTTCTAGTTTCTCATATTTTGAATTATATAAATTATTGTAATCTTTAGTTCCAGTGTTTGTCTGGCTGTTAAATTTTTTTATCCAATCTAATTTTTTTATTTTGATTTTATAGTTATGCCGGCCATCTCCTGTAAACTTATTGCGGCGATGTAAATATTTAATGAGGAAATACAGATTTCAAGAATTATCAAGCCAGGACCAGCAGAAGGCCATGTTATATTTACAGCGAGATCTAGCCGCTGTGATAGACCATAATAGTGAGGCTGAAACACAAGAGGTTTTTATGTTTTTTACATCATCTCTGTTTGTCTTGTTTTTTACATCATCTCTGTTTGTCTTGTTTATCATAGCTTATGGAAGGTTGTTGTTCAGCTTAGGTGCCTGCTTGTACCTGATATATTTCACAAAGGGACACTAGGGTCCTCTTTTACCAGTAACATTGGAAAATCACCATATAACCTCTATAATATTGAAGAGAACATTGAAACTCAAGACAAAATTTTCTTATTCCATAAAGGAAAGATAACTCAAACATTGATGATAACTATTTTTATCGACAAAAAATTTATTCAAGATTGTGTCCCTTGGAAGAGGTGGGCATATCATTAAATAATTTAAAAGAAACAGAATTTTATATCCAATACTTAAGTATACATTATTTTGATTATAATTTAGAAACTAAGAAAAATTAAAATGCCAGTTATATATGACATGTACTTAGTAATATGTAATAATTGTCTCTGACAAAATGACATCTTTGGACTTTGGAATTAGTATTTATTTTAATGAAAAAAGAAAAGCTTGAAATAGCTTTCTATCAAATCATATATGATCTAATTGCTTAACTTCAGCATGTTTCTCACTAAGTAATATGGAGCAAAAGTATACATTAAGCAAAAATATCAAAAACATAATGTTAGATTTCAATAAAAAAGACAGAATTAGTTTTCCTTTTGAATATGAAATTTATATGAAAAAGATTGTTTATTTGTTTTTCTACATTTCATCTATAGCTTCCTAGTAGATGTTTTGTTATTGTTTAAAAATGTTTTAAATTTCAGTTTCATTTGCTTGCTTCCACATTGTTTTCGAGTGGTTTAGAGGATGAAGAAATGTATGATAGCCAAAGTTCTTGTAAGTTTCATACTGATGATATATACTCCTATACTGCCAATGTTTCATCAATAATTTTTTCCCCACATATTCAAAACAAATGATTTGTACTGTTTCTTGACTCAGTTAATCAAATTTATTACTTTTTATGCAATTCATGAATTCAGAAACCTAGCTAAACACTGTTTTTCGTACTTCCTGTACATAGCTCTGGGGAATTCACCTAAATGGCTGCGCCATTCGTGAAATATACCTTTTGGTGCTCACTCGGTGAAATATATTCCGATCTCACACTGAACTAAACAAATATCCTCTATTTGTTTTTAAAAAACATGATTTAATATCATTGTACAAATAATTCCATGCTGAAATATATATTTGTTAATACACAAGATTATGCAGAAAATATTAATTTATTATTGCAGGTGCCACTTCAACTGTTTTAATTTAAACAATTTAATTTTTTGTATAATTTGAGATAGGCAGTAAAGGAACATTGACAAATTTTTAACACATCATGTCTTTCCACTTCAAATGTTAATAATAAAACGTAGAAATATAACATAAACTTTATAAGCTAACATACCAGAAAATGGTGTTTAGCTAGGATTTCATAAAGGTAGGTCAATTTTGACACATTTGGAGCTAAACATAGCTAAAAGATGCGCAAAATTTAAATTCTTCACTTAGGTTTTTCTGATATGGTCGGATTGGAAATAAATATTCATTAAGATTTTAATAACATTTAATGTAGGTCTATGACAATGACTTGTGTGCAAAATTTCAGATAGTTTGCTCACTTCATTTTTCATGAATAGTCATTTTTATTGTGTGAAGAAGACCTAAAAATTAAAAGCATTTTAATTTTAAACTCTTTCAATTAAAACCTGTCTAAAAATGGACATTATATATTTCACCCCCCCCTTCCCCCCCCCCCCCCTCATAAAGAAAGAAAGAAAATAAATATTATATAAGAGCTAAAAATACAACAAAAATAAACAAGAACAGCTCCCCCTCATTAAAATGTTGGAGAAACAAAGATAACATATGATGATTGATGTTGCTAATTAGTTGTTATATTTTACAGTCAGTGAATCAAATACATCAGAATCTTACCATAAAAGGACAGAATTGTTTGATTTACTCGTAGAATTCTTCCCTGAAAACATGACTCAACCCAAAGGTAACCTTGTCGATTTAATACCACTGTGTTGATGACATTGGAGGCAGTTTGGAGAATTCACCCCATATTGGGGGCTATCTCTTGCTGTTTCTTGTAACACACAAGACTTTCTGTTCAGAAATTGGTGAACGGTGGTGGATATTGGTGATGAAATTTGTGAACTGTTCAGAATACGAAGATGATTGACAGATTAATTAACTTATAAAGTGGATTATTCGGATGATCTAGGAAATTTGAAGATTTTAATAATTGAGGCATGAATTGTATTTAAATTTTTATCACTGCATAATGAATACAATCTGGAAATAAAAGGATTTGATGAAATATATATTTACTCGTGACAGTTGAGAATAGTGACGTTTTTCGATAACTTTGAAACAAATTATTTGAAACATTGATGATTTGGATTGTGAGGTAATGAATTGTGAAAAGTATTATTTGTGAATAATGGGCATTTTTTTAAAAAGTGAAGTTTTAAATGCCTTATTTGATGAACACATGAAAATGAAAAAGTGTTTTCTTAAATTTTGACACTGGACAAAAATATCTGAGAAGGCAGGGCACCTTCTGACATAATGATAACTTATTTTAATTGTGATTTTTTCTTTTGCTTTTATTAGAAGCTATCAGAAGGAATTTATAAGAATGCATTTTTTTTCACAAGAAATTATCAGAAATGTACTAAGTGTTGAGATTTTTATCATATTATTTTTATACCAAGATTAATTTATAGGTCAGAACAAGCTTTAATGTGATCATGATTTAGACAACTACCGCTAAGATATTACCCTTGTGGTTGGGAAGTACAATACATTGAATATGTAGTGATGTTACAGTCTGTATGTCTGTTCATCAGTATGGTACAATCTTGCATATGCTTTAACTCCACAACCAATTGTATGATTGGAATGAAACCTACACTGAAGTGGTTGTCATAAAGCCTTTTGTGGTATTGTCTTAGATATACATATAGGAGAAATCCCAAGGATAAATCATTACGGTTTTACCATATGGTTTTCCTTTAACTACAGAAATGTTTTATTAATGACACTTTTTCAGATAATATTAATTTTTATTATATACTTAAAAATGAAATATTGAGAAATATTGATTAAATAAAATGCGTATTTTCATTTTCCGTATTTTCACTGTAAAAATTTATTTTTCACTGCAGTGAAACATATTTTCCGTATTTTCACTGGTGTCTTGCCGGACTACTTTCTTTTAAATTCTGCCAGTACACAAAATTTAAAAAAAAATCTTGCAAATTTTATAGCAAAAAAGAGAAAAATGTATATAATAAACAGAAAATTCAAGTTTTTTCTAAGAATACATGATTTATTTTCATCTTGTGGCATGAAAATTACCATATTTCACTCGTGGCTACCGCCACTCATGAAATATTTATTTTCTTACCACTCGATGAAAATAAATCATGTATTTGTAGAAAAAACTTGAATATCCTCTATATATGCATTTGCCAAAACTTGATTACTTTTGTTGAATTATTCTGTCTTCATGTGATACATCCAATTTCTTATCTTAATGTTATTTTTTTTCATTGCTATTCCCCTTTTCAAGATTTCTTTTAACTTTGGCATCAAAATAAACTCGAGGAGGGTCAAATTTACCATTTACAGGTTATGTATCTAGATCATTATTGCATTACATATATCATGACACATACTTATTATAGGATAAAAAACAAGCCAATGAAATTCTTACAGTTGATGTTAAATTGAAGTAATCATAATTGAATGGTGACAAGATAGTAAAGCCTGAAAATGCAAGGGCTTGAAAATTGCTGATTTTCACCTCAGTGCTCTTGGATTTCATTATAGCCCCATATACTTGTATGTATTTACATATACAAGCAATGCGCTTTCAGGCTATATGAGAATGTGGAAGTAGGGTCGTTGATCATGGAACACTCTTTTAACTGCTATTTTTGTATTCATAGAGTTAGAATGGTATTTCATTATACTCATGTTTTGACCAAATGGCTTTTGCTGTAGGAAGGTTACATATTGATTGTGTGTAATTGTTGTTGTTATTTTTTGCGATACTTAATTGTTAATATTGAATTATTTGTAGATAAAATGTAGATGGATGTGTTGTATAAAAATGAGAAAGATGTAAAATTGTAAAAATAAATAATGAAATATGAAATGAATGTCTGATTTTTTTTTGTTGATTTATCATAATCCATTTCTCTACTGGACTTGGAAGCGATTTGGCATAAAGCCAGCTCAGACTGAGACTCGATTATAAAATAAAGTGTAAAATTTAAGATTCCCGGGATTAATATATATCTTATAAGATCGCGGCGATCCAGGGATTTCCCCCCCCCCCCCAACTTTATGGTTTAATGATTGACGGTGTGCAATCTGTAGAATGGCCCATGTTTCGATTTAGTTGACACATTGATATACACGAAATAGCACGAACTGCTAAACACAAACTAAAACGCACTAACAATGTATGACAATGAAAATAACATTTAGCTCAATTTATAGATGGCTAGGTTGTGTCATGGCAAATATGTTTTTTAAACTCTACGTTTAATTTTAATGTACCTAATTCATTAAAAAGCGACCGAGTGCTAAATGATAAAAGTTTGTTTGTATATCTGCGCTAATATTTCATTAAATCATCCGTTTGTTACAGTCTAAAACTGAAAACATAAAAAAATACATTGTCTAAGAAGTTAGTGACTTAAAAGAAAAACACGATAATACACCAAAACATTTGGCATTACTTTGTACATAGACTCCAAAGGATTATCTTAACCTTAGAACCTAAACGATGACAAATGACGGAAAAGTCACAATATTATTGACAAAAGTTTCCATTCCTATCTTGTTCAGCAATATGGTATCCGACGTAATCGACACCCAACAATTTTCTTAACATGTTCAATAGGAATGATATCATGGGTTTGAAAAGGGATAGTTCCTACGTCATTATTTTGTCTGAAACAGTAAATGAAAATTAAATGATCTTTGGTCTTTTTCTGACAGTCGATTGATACACCACATACCAAGACATTTTGCTGTGTTGTTGATACATCATATTACAGTTAATGTGGATTCGGCGCTAAAATATGTCTTAATGTTAAAATGTTGTAGGTAAAGACTTTTACTTTACGTTTGTAATATTACTGAATTATAACGTTCCTTTACCTTAAGTGCAACAATTGCAATGCCCATTTTGATGCGCAAATTTTTATATAGTCATTGTCAACATATTATCACAATAGCAATACTAGGAGTACACGTTTTACTAAGTTCCGTATCTATATGTCTTCCAAATTTACTACTGTTATTAAAACCCTGAGTATTACAAATGTAGATAGTAAATGACATATTATAAAGTCAGTAGACGCAAATCTGTCAGAATGGGGAAACAAGCTCTAGTATGTAAGGAGACAGTGAAACGAAATTAATAAATTGTTATCTAGAGGTAGCATTATACAAAAGACAACGTCAGATGATTGAGTAAATCGCGTGATGGTTGATATAAATGTCAAAGATTAAACTGTAAAACAAATATTGAAATCGTGTGGTTTTAAAATTTCCGAAACACAACGTGATGAATTATGTGTGTACTGTTCGAGTGTATACGTAAATGGTATCAAGCTTTATCTTAAGATTTAAAAAAAATAAAATTCATTAAAATTGTGTTGTTTTTATTTATCCTATAGTCGATTCTCGAAAGAGTTGTAACCTTTGATACTGCCAATGTATTTCTTGCGCTTAATCACAGCAAGTTTTAGCGTTTTTTTATTATTCAATAATTAAGGCTGTAAATACTTACGAAATATAATACGCTCATTCTTTGCACAAAAATGTGGATAAAATGTTGGTCTTGAGTGTCTGCAAAGGATAAACAGGTGATAGGCTATCATCTACAGTAATGATTTGAATCAGCGGCAGTAGCATGGCCTAAACCACAAAACAAAAATGTATCAAAACTTACACGTTGTTCTCAGCATATAATATATAGTTGTGCATCGCTTATCTAAGGGCTAAGTAATTTGTATCATTTTATACCATAATAAACAAGTACATGTATAAAACCAGGATAATTTCTTCAAACTTTGTTTCCAAAAGTACGACAATATGATAATAACTCAACTGCGGTTAGCTCTATAACTACTTATCTCTCGAACAAATTTGCAAGTCCCTCCGGGTTCGAGCGAAAAGTTTGACTAAAATATATTTTTGTTATCAATTACAGCAAAATTAACAGTTTCCTCCACTAAGATTTCATAGGTGGAATACCCATCAAACATCGGCAGAAAAATATACATGAAGACAACATACTTCATCATGAAAGTCAATGCTCTACATCAAACCTTTTTCCAGTCTACGAAATCTGCGTCAGAAAAAATACCATATAAAAAGGAACGGGGATAAGATATCTCAGTAAAATCTCTTTAACTAAAATATACTCAAATCCGGCATTATATATCCTCATTCTTGTGCAAAAAAATTAGCGCACTACATTTCATAATGATTTACAACCTTACTGAATAATAAAAAAACGCTAAAACTTGCCGTGATTTAGCGCAAGAAACACATTGGCAGTAACAAAAGTTATCATAAGAACTCCAGGACATATTTTGAGTTATCACAAGAACTCCGGGACATTTGAAAAATCGGGTATAAATTTGTTAGGCGGAGCTTTATGTTTGCAATTTTGCATTATAATTAGGTAATTATGTATGGCAAGGATGAAGATTTGAAATAAACAGGTCAATACTTGCGAATTGGCAAATAATTTGGAAATTTTACTCAAAACTACCAGATTTTAAGCAAGAGGCGATGAAAAATGGACTATGAATTAGTTTTTGACACATAATACAATATGTAAGGCAAGCTTAATCATTAAAGTTTAATTTAGCACCTAAAATTCACTTTTTAAAGATGAAAATTACCATTTTTTACGAGTGTTTTTGCAGTATATACAATAGTTTTCCGACGAACTCCGTGACAGTTATCACAAGAACACCTTGACAAGTTATCATAATAACTCCATCCTTCGTGTAACACTTCCACCCGAGTAAACTGCAAAATGCTGTTATGATAATATAAATTTATAAACTATATAACCGATTATGTTCTAACAAGGCAAAATCTTTACGTGTATCTGTCACAAATATCAAATGTCTGAACAAATTCAGTTCATGGAAACAACAAAACATATTAAAAAGTAAATGATTTATTACGGCAAGAGTGTTCGCTAAACAATTTTTTTAAATATAACTTGTTCAGAGTAAAGCTTTTGAGACGAGACTCGTTTTCCACGTCACAGTTAAACCAGATTCTTGGTGTTTTATTGAAGACTAAGTATTGTTTCATTACAATATTATACCAACTGTATAATAACTCATTACAACGATCCTGCTTCGGGCACCATATGTCATAAACTGTGCAAGTAAAACCATAAACAAACAAACAAACAAACAACGATAACATCGACAATAAGAGATCTTTCTCAGTATCAAATTAATCAGACTAGAATACACTATAATTTGCCGACATATTCATCTGCTTTCATTATGTTATTGTTTACAACATGTTCAAGACTTTAATCAGTAAAATGTGACAGATGATGGTATTCCATGCGATTGCAGCAATAACAAAATTTCCACTGTTCATCTAATAAGCCCGTTCTAGCATATGTATCTGAAGAGACTCAATTAAATATAGTCTGCACACTTTTAAGTTTCATTTTTTCTATTCATTAAATTTTTGTACACGAGTATAAGCCATGCGTTAAAACAAAAACATTTAAGGCTGACCAGCATATGCGTGTTAAGACAGTTAGTCATACATTTCACATTTCTAGATCAGATTTGCACGTGAAATTATATTATTTATCAGTTTCTAAGCCGATTTGTCGCATATACAATCGCGGTATCTCTTAGAACATATTTAATATAGGGGGCAATACACAGTTTTCAAGGCTTCTCGGCAAACAACTGACTGCGCCACAATCAAAACCTCGCACACAAGTCTGTAATCACACACCTGAAATAAATGCATTTCATATTTAACATATATATATGTATCTCACAGCAAACAATTAAAAATACATGTCCACCTTCTAGTTTTCTGGCACACAGCCCTGTGTTTTTCATTGTTTTGGTCGCGAAAATCAACGACAAAATAAGCGGATTATCCCTATACGCAAAATACAACAATATATTAACGTCAAAAACTTAAATCACAAGCTATAGTGTTTCTTCCTTCTT